CTTCCCTTTTATACTTGTCCATGCATGTCTGATGTGACAATGTAGATGTAATATTTAAAGGGGTACTCTGTGGCAACATGCAGACTTACAAGTCAAACTTGTCATCTGATTATCTGAATCTCTTTGACTATAGTAAGTAGAATGCAATTTTAAACATGTTTACCTTGAATCACAATTTTAAATGTGCTTCTCTGAATCAATTCCCATTATATTTAGTGGTAATTATTTCCAGTGAAGTAAAAATGCAAGAACAGCAGTTTGTGAATGACTTAGTACTATATATTTTGACATTATTCTATCTAAATGCTTGTTACTTATCCATTAAACAGCAGTCAAACTATTTGTTAGTGCAATGTGTGAACCTGGCTATATTCTTTCAATTTAGCCTCTTTCTAACAAATAATATGTGCCAAAACTTAATTGGTTGCTGTGTAATACTTTTGCAAGTCCCTGTTTTCAGTACCATAGTAATAAAACTTTATCTCATTTGCATGTAGTGGAAGACTGATATATCTATGAATATTAAGGCACTTTTAATGAGTGATTCTGGTCCAACTTCACAATCACAATAAAAGGTATAAATCATTATAATATGAAACACTGAAGCTAAACTTCAATCAACCTATTTATCTGAAGAAACAACATTGAGATCAATGGGACCCCTCCCTACTTCCTACTTTAAAATAATGTTCTGCTTAACTTCTTTAAAATTTCAGTAATGCTAACTTTTTCTTGCTCCTGTTTCTATAAAAAGAAGAATCTCAGTAAAGCCTACTTATTACTAAAGACTAAATTTATCATTGATATTCCTTAGCATTTATTTAATGTATTTCAAAACATTAAAAGGGTATAATATACATTTCTTTCAAAAACTCTTTCAATTATTCACACAACACTGCAAAACAGGGTTGCTGCCTCTCTGAGCATGTTGTTAATTGAAGGATCCTTAAGAATAGTTTGAGGCTTCCTATCTCCATGATCTCATTTAGAAATTTTGCACCTACACCAGTGTTCAAGGAAAGACTTGCTTTGCATGTAAAATCATCAGTCTTCACTTAACAAGAAAATAAAATTAAAGACACCACTAACGTAATGCTCCAGTTGTGAACCATGTAATTTTTGGTGAGGAGAAAGAGGAAGGAGTTATTCCTGATGGAAATCTTGCATCAAAGTAAATGGTCGGAAATCTTGGGTTTATCATATTTTTTTTCTCTCCCTCCTCTTAAGAGCAACTGAGATCCAGATTCTCTGCTATATTATATTGTGAAACCTTGTAAAATCAGCTGGTCTGTCCAATTGGCTGAGTAAGAAGTTTTTGTTGTGGTTGCTACCGTCTCTCTCTACAAATTGGAGCTCCTCCTCCAAATGTCCACTTTTAAGGGGCCGGTAGCCCCACAGCTTCGGTTAATGGCGGTTCTACTAGCACAGGGGTTCTCAACCTTGGCAACTTTAAAACTTGTGGACTTCAACTCCCAGAATTCCTCAGCCAGCTTTGCTGGCTGAGGAATTCTGGGAGTTGAAGTCCACAAGTCTTAAAGTTGCCAAGGTTGAGAACCCCTGTACTAGCATATGAGCCCGCCTGACATTTCCTAAAGAACAATCCTAAAGGGCGATCTCTTGCCATAGCACCGCGCCAATCCGGCCACGATCCCAGCGACCCGAGCGCAGGAGCGGCCGTCCCTCCCTCCCTCCCTTACCTGGGTGAAGTAAAGGTTCATAAGCGTCAGGGTGAAAAACTGGAGGCACACCGGGAAGCAATAGAGGAGCCAAAAGGCGAAGGGGCGGAGGGAATTGGCGGCGACAAAGTCCTTGAAATAAAAAGAGAAGAGCACCGTCCGAAGAGAAGCCCAGAGCAGGCACAGAAATAAAAAGACCGTCTGATAGCTAAACCTCTTGTGCCGGTAGTGCAGGACCAGCCAGAGCTGGATGTAAATGAACAGGAAGAGGAGCGAATAAAAGACGGTGTAGGCAACGGTGAGACCCAGCTTCACGAACGGCGGCACAGCCGGGCTCAGAGTAGGCAGGAGGCTGCCGTTCCTCAGCGCGTCCCGTTCCAGGGCCTCCATCGGCGCCCGGGATCCGGACGGGCAGAGCTTGCGCTTAACTTTGCCGGCTGGGGCTCCTGTTGCTGCTGCTGCTGCTGCCGCTGCCGCCGCCGCC